AAAGATTAAGCTTTAGTCAAAATATACAACTAAACATGAGCAAAAATTATTTACTTTAATAACTTATCTACGGAGAAGAGTCAACAGGTTAGCTAAGTACGCTAACCGTAAGCTGCATTAACATGATGCGCAGCAAAATGGCTCTGCGCTGACGTTGTCGTTGTGTTTCTATAAAGAGAGTGTTGCAGCCCGACTAGGCGGACACTCAAAGTTCAAATAAATTCAACTTTTACCTTGTTTACCCCTGATCTCTCGATGTGCAACCAATCAGATGCTAGCTGTATGTAGCGGCGCAAGCTAGCAAGAAAAACATTACATGTTACTTGTTAGAACTTTATTTATTTGTATAAGGTCTTCTGTACAAATTTGCAATACAAGATAATAATTGTATTGATACAATTCTGGTCTGGTACGTCTGGTGACCATCCCCCCCTCAGTGGAGGGCAACCTCCGGTTCTGGGGGTCCCCGGATCACCTCCGGAGGGGGTCCCCACTGGGACGGGTGACCTCCTACATCACAGTGTTCACGGATGCATCCGGAACGGGATGGGGAGGGACCTGCCTGGGGAGAGCTATAGATGGGCGCTGGTCTCTAACAGAGACACGGCACAGCAACCTCCTAGAGCTACGGGCAGTAGTGTTGGTCCTCCAGCATTTCAAACCCGTAATTCAGGGGAGACATGTAATGGTCAGGAGCGACAACAGCACCACAGTGGCATATATCATATATATTTAAAACAAAATTAACGCCACTAATTATTTTAACGCGATTAACGCATGTGTATTTTTTGTCCTCGGCCGCCCCGTAGTTTCAGAGCGCATCGAGTTTAAAATACCATCTACAAGCTGATGCTGACAGCCCCGCTCCTGCCGCCCGCTTGTGGCAGACCACACTTCCACGCTCACCGGCAGGCCCGGACTGGCCATCGGGAGGACCGGGAGGGAGTGTGTATCTGTGGCGCGAGCGAGGCACACCTTACATGTTGTTGTTGTTGTTAGCATCTGGTGCTAGCTAGCTGCGCTAACGGATATAAGGAGCTGTTTCAATGAAAACAGAGGAGCGACATTTCGCCGACAACTGCGCCGAGCACTTGACTTTATGCAGGTAGCCAGACAGTGGGACATTGTACGAAAAGTCAGCACACTCAGCACGGATAGTGCGCGCAACATGATTGCAGCGTCCAGGCAGCTCCCGTTCGAGCATATATGCCTTGAGCTGCACATAGCTCCAACGATCCATCACAGTGTCTCCACATTCACACACACACACACACACACACACACACACACACACACACACACACACACACACACACACACACACACACACACACGCACACACACACACACACACACACACACAGTATTGTAATGTTCAGAGGTTGTTGTGTTTAATATTCATGAGAATATTTGTCATTGTTCAAATGATAATAAACAAACATATAAAGCATAGTTGTCCACTCATATGTTGATAAGAGTATTAAAAACTTGAAAAATATCCCTCTAAGGTACATTTAGAATAGATAAAAAATGTGCGATTAATTTGCGATTAATCGCGATTAACTATGGACAATCATGCGATTAATCGCGATTAAATATTTTAATCGACTGACAGCCCTAATCTTTACATTTGTATGTGTTTTTATATGTTTCTAGTTATTGTGCTTTTTATCATGTTTTTAATTATTGTTTTATTATTGTACTCCCATTGTGTTATTTTATATTGTATTTATTCCCTATACAGCACTTTCATCAACTGAAGGTTGTTTTAAATGTGCTATATAAATAAATAAAGATTGAGATTGAGATTTAAATAAAGCTCTCGTAACATTCACTAGTACTGTACCTTGACCACTTGTTGTTTCCCAGTTGCGTGCCAATTTACATGACTAAATGTGACGCTGCCAAATTTGTGTCGTACTTTACAATGTGCCACCTCAAACACATCTGCTGTGTAAAAGCAGAGCCCTGCTGCAGCCGAGTTTATCAGGAGCTTTATCTCTTTCCCTGTGTGTTATCGAGCATTAGGCTTGAACTGCTTCCAGTCAAATAACTCATGTTTATATTTGAGCTTGATGGATCAGATACTGAGGAATTATGCGATTAGTTTAATTTCTTGTGGTGTTTATAACTAACACAATTTGTTAGTTATAAACACCTGATAAGAAGTGGAATCAGATTATTTAATAATCTCATTCCACTCCTTGGTGTATATGTATTGATTGATTTATTGATGGTCTGTTGATGTTTGATTGTGTTTTCTTGTCTAGTGACAAAGTCTGCTCATATAATAGATTAATAATAAACTGTTCATGCAGTTTGGTCACAGGCTGTTGGTTATAGCAGAGGTTCGAAGAAGTACTCAGATATTTAAGTAAAAGTACAAGTACCAGAGTGTAGGAATACTCTGTGACAAGTAAAAGTCCTGCATTCAAAATGTTACTCAAGTAAAGTACAACAATATTGGCATCAAAATATACTTAAAGTACCAAAATTAAAAGTAGTCATTGTGCAGATTGGTCCATTTCAGAATAATATCTATGATGTGTTTTATAATTATTGATCAATAAAGTGTTCTCAAAGCTGGTAAAGGTGCAGCTAGTTTTAATGACTTTGTATACTGCAGGGTAGCTTGTGAATTTACTCCAGGTGTAACTAAAGTCTGATTTAAGAGTTGATTATATTTCACAATGTACTTAGTTACTTTACACCACTGGTTATAGCATCGCTGAGAGAAAGCAGCTCATACAGGGTCTATAAATATGTGTTATTGATAGACATGTACAGTAAAAGTATAGGTTGCAAAATACATACCTTTGTCTTGTGACTTCAACATAACCCACATTTGATCAATTTCACTGCCAAAACAACATTTCGGCGCAAAATAGCGCAACATTCACCTGTCCCTCATCCAATATATATTTCCTCGTATTATTGACACATTGTTAACATACTGTACATACAGTTTGACTTACACATAAATCACACCAGTTTTTCACTTGTCCTCTTTGGGAAAACACTCAGTAATGCCAGTTACTTTACTCTGAGATGCATTTTGTTTATATCATTATTCACCCTTGTAATATGTCTGTATATATTGTATCTTAGCTATTTTTAACCTATGTTTAGACTGATTAATACATGTTTGGAGATCATTCAGTAGTTAGACTAAGTTTGAGTTTTTTTTAAGGGTATTCAGTAAGTGTTTGGTATTGTTTAGCTTGTACTTGTTTTGTACTCTCTCCAATTGTTAGGATATTTTTAGATAAGTGTCTGGGATTCTATTCTCAACTTTTGGATAGCTTATCGGGGTGTCCAATTTCACATATCTGCATTATCTCTTGTACATGTATTTTTATTCAGTTTGTGAATAAAATAAATTAGACATTTAAAAAGTGGAAATAAGAAAGCAATTAGGGCCATGTGGCCAATCAAATTCATCCCCCTTTAACTCCTTGTGTTGTGGTTACTTGAATATTGTTGTGTTCTCCATTGACTTTCTGAAAAATATTATTCAGTTTATCCAGCCAAGTAGGTGGTTAAAGGAAATCATATTTTAACACTTATCACAAATCATTTTGTTTTTTACTTCGTTTAAACTTCTTAGAGGTGGCTGCTTTGTCTCAGATCCTCACTTCGCTTTTACCTGCCAATAGTGTTGTTATATTTTGAGCACCAGATGGCAGCAAACATATGCAATGAGGTGCAGTTTTCCCACAAGGCAATACTCTGAATCATATTCTTTACTCTGGAACAATGAACATTGTGCAATTAGGAGCAGAAGGGTTCACCTGTACTGTGTTCTCCATATTTTACATACGGTACTGTCCGTGCAGTAATCCATGGACATCTTTACACCGTTTCTTTTGATTTATCCTTCTATGTATAGTAGTGAAAGTAAGCAAATACCTTTACTTGAATTCTTCATTTATGTGCAATCTGGAGGTACTTGTACTTCTACTACACTAAATGTCTCTATATTTATTTTCAATTACAAATACATTTGGCATTAATATATCTTTTAAAGTGGACTGTTTTTTACTTCAAGGCAAGCCTATTTTGCTGATAACATTTATATAGTCACTTCAGTATATCTTTGAATGAAGGATGTTTACTTGTCATGGAGCAGTTCACATTGTAGTATTCATTTACTCTAACCTCTTTCCGCTCTGATAAACTGTCACGTGGTAATCCAAGAGAAAGAAGAAGCACCCAACAAAACAGGAGGCAACACATTTGGTAAGAGATCTTTATTTTAAACAAATAGGAGACTACCGTCTGCAGAAGTGTTGCATAGGTTTGTTGTATACGATGAGATAGGAAAAGGTGGCTGTTGAAGCTTTGTGATGACACGGCGGCACTGGAGACATTGCCAATAAATATGAATTAAAACTGAAATGGTTTCAGGGCGGGGATCCGTAGATTAAAATACTCATTATTATGCTTAAGGTCAGCTACTTCACACACTTTAAATATTCCTTTTGATCTGCTACTCTGTTAAAAAACATACTAGTATAATCCAGTGGACAGCTAGACTATTTCACCCCACGCTGGTGCACTGAGCCTCATGGCCTCACAACAGACATATGTACAAAGTGCACTGTGGTGCTTATCAGTTAAAACAGCAGACACTCATCAGGTATTCCCACACTTATCAGTCATTACTTGTGCCCTATTGGTCAAATGCAGGTGTTTGAGGAACTGAGGATGGAAAGGTAAGAGGTTAAAGAAAGCTGATGTATTATTCATTATGGATGTCTTATCTTTGAGGTGATGGAGTTTTGGTTTGACCCACCTTGTCAGAGGTAGAGCAGCTCATTGAAGAAGGAGCAAGAAAATTGCAGGGGGTCAACTCAAGTTCATCACACTTGAAAAACAAAGATTAAGCTTTAGTCAAAATATACAACTAAACATGAGCAAAAATTATTTACTTTAATAACTTATCTACGGAGAAGAGTCAACAGGTTAGCTAAGTACGCTAACCGTAAGCTGCATTAACATGATGCGCAGCAAAATGGCTCTGCGCTGACGTTGTCGTTGTGTTTCTATAAAGAGAGTGTTGCAGCCCGACTAGGCGGGCACTCAAAGTTCAAATAAATTCAACTTTGACCTTGTTTACCCCTGATCTCTCGATGTGCAACCAATCAGATGCTAGCTGTATGTAGCGGCGCAAGCTAGCAAGAAAAACATTACCGTACATGTTACTTGTTAGACGCTTTTATCCAAAGCGACTTACATACTCAATACTGTGGACAATCCCCACAGGAGCAATTTGGGATGAAGTGTCTTGCCCAGGGACACAACGACATGCTGACTGCAGTGGGGTTTGAACCTGTGACCCCCTGACCCCAACACCAAGGCTCTATCCACTGCGCAACACGCCTCCCTAACAAAACACAACGCTGTTTATCACCAATCATGTGAATGCACTGTAAGAGCTAAAGAGCTAAAGTTACAGCAAAAGCTAAGGTTGTTTCAATAAGCACTAAAAGACTCAGCTAGCTTATTTTATTGTGATTCTAACCATGTTTTAATCAGCTCTCCCAAATCCAATAAACAGTAAATAGGAGTGTCATGTCAAATGTAATGTTTCTGTTCTCTAAGCAGCAATTCTGTTGTATTTGGATGGAGGGCAGATATCTTAAAATAAAAACCACCTTAATGGAGAGATATCACCGGAGTGATGTGAGAGAGCATGTTTGTTTTAAGAGTTTAAATGGGGGAACTGACCCATTTAAAGTAACACCTTTTCCTAAGATCAAACTGCAGCATAGTAAATGTTCCATTGAGATCTGGATTCAGCAGGCGCAGATTCACTTCTTTTCCAGCCACTTTCTACAGTAACATACAGTAGTGGTTGGCTGGAGGGATTTATTAGATGTTATGACAGAGAAAATTATATAAGAAATGTATGTACAACAGTTTGAGGACACCTTCCCCTAAGGAATATGACTTCGGATAAAACACTATTTATATTGAATAAAGTAGTTTGTCATATTAAGTTTAAATAAGTTCCATCACAGAGAGGATCAGTGCTCTGCAGCTTCAAACTAAACTAGCCCTGCCCCCTCTGGATTCTATAAAATAGAGTTGTAGCTAAATAGTTTACCCATCCATTCTTACAAGCATACACCTGTACATGAAAACACACACACACACATTGTATTGTACAGTGAATTGTGCAAAACAGTTAATACATTGCCTAAACAACTAAAAAGTGAGATGGGCAGTAGCTGTTTACAGGGGTTTGTTCAGAAGTGAAAAAATCCCATTCTGTCTGAACACTGTAATCTCAAGAGAGGCTCACTGCTGAACCAGCACACTCCTGAACGCTCAGAACTGGAGATGTGGCCGGTTTCCTCGGGTTGTCTTTGGTAGCACTTGTTCTGTTTTCTCTTTTCTCCGTCCGTGTGTCTTGCTCTCCGTTTGTCCGTCTGTCTGTTTGTTTGACTCTCCTCATGTCTGTGTCGGCCAGCGATCGGCCTCCGTCGCCCGATCTGTCGCCTGGGATTGGAGAGCTGCTCCGCGTCACTGCGCCTTCCACAGAGGGTTGTGATACACCCAGCCTTCACCCTACACACACACACACACATACAATAATGTTGATAATATTACAATATACATTTCTTGTTATAATTTTGTTTTGTATTATTATAATTCTTATTATTGATTGTATCATTCATATTATTATTATTATTATATATTTCATTTAATATTAATAATTATATATTTAATATTATTGTAAAATATTATTGTTGTTATTTTTATATGTATTAATAATACTAAAAACACAAAATCCCCCAAAAATCGAAACAAATATTTGATCTATATAATCTTTAGAGATAAGAAAAAATAACAATACAAACACGATATAACAGTCTCTGAATATCAGAAACAAAATAAAAAAAGTATTCTGAGTGTAAGTATCAATGTGACTGACCACCTGTGGCAGTTCATAGTTACAGGGCAGGTGACTGATGAAGATGCACATGGTGTCGAAACATTACATCAAGTGTATGCCTTTAATCCATGTGATCAAGCAGGCGGGAGCAAAGACTTGAAATCTCTTCTGATACATGATCATCCTCCTCTGAGAGCCCCACACAGGCCTGCATTCCTTGTGAGTATGTCTAAGTGCTTTAGAAGTCTTCCTCCATCACATGCGCACATTGGGAGATTGACTTTGTTCTTATCTGGGGTAGACATTACTCCACTCTCTATTTACAGCAAATAGTTGCTTGCTGCGAAATGAATGCTTTTTCATTTCGAATTGAAAACCTTTAAATCAATAAAGATGGCTGTACTTAATAAAGTGGTACAGGAATGAGTCTTAAACCTGGAAATGACTTAGCATGTCACCACTTCTGGTTCCATCTTTTAAAAAACAATGGTTTTTTGTACGTGTTTGTGGTTAGAATCCTGAAATAAAGTGTTTTAATGTAGTTAGCACAAGCTTAAGAGATTTTCACGTGTTGTTCCACAAAATAAATAAATAAGCATCAGTGCACCACTCTGATTGGGCAGAGTTCCTAAACAGGCAATTCAGAACATAAACCTGACAACTAGTGATGACAAAGACCCTACAACTGGTCCCTTCAATTGACATTTGGATATCTGCTCCCCCTCACCTCTTTAATGAAGTATTTGGGTTTCCAGGCGCTGTGGGACGCAGCTCTCTGTTTGGCCTCGCGGCGCTGCCTGTCCTCCAGGCAGCGTTTGTGTTCTGTGGCTGCGTCCAAATGTCCTCCCTTCAGCGACGCTGTTACATGCTGCCAAAGACGCCTAGTGACAAAGAAACAGAACAAGAGAAATCTTCATAATTATGCCTTGGAAACGGAGAATTTAGCTTGCAAAAGTATAACATTAATGTAAACAGTATTTCCCAAATATTTGTCTAGGGTCAATAAAGAATCGATTAACAGCAATATATTAAAAATAAATAACAAGTTTTAAACGTTTTAAAAAAGCAAAGTCAGTTGAAGTGGAGTCCTACATTAGAGTGCAAAAATAATAAGAGCACATTGATAACATATCTTTTATTTTAATTTAGGCTGTTTAGCCGCTCCACTATAATGATGACGATGATGATGATGCTGTAATAAAAAGAAACATGAAGACTCACCGGGACTCGTACTGGCCCTGCTTCTCTATAGGCTGGATCTTCTTCTTGATGATTGGATGCTTGGAGGTGTCTATCACCTTGTTCTCCCCGTTGCTGTAGGTGAACTCCAGCACCCCGTTCCACTCCCCCTGCGCCTTACACACTATGTTTCCAGTTAGGTTGTGCTTCACCTCTGCTGTCACTCTGTGGGAAATCAACAGGAGCATTCACAGCGTGAGAAGGGTTCATTTAAACATTCATTTTGTTACAATTACTAGTTACCTGCCTTTCATGAAGCCTATTCAGGCAGTAGCCTATACACCAACAATGAAACACATGAGCACATACTACAGAAATAAAATCTGAGCTGACAAATGACAATGCTCCGTTTTAGTTTAACACAGTTAAGCTCACACACACTATTTTATGAACATATACTGTAGGTTCACCTACTGAATTAAAAACAGAACAAATGAACCAAAGAAAGTGAAAACCATAAAGCAGATTCAGGCAGTAGGCGTATAGATTCACACTCACAGGTGTTGGTGGGATTGGCGCACCAGAGCATGTTTTGTTACTGTAACGGCTAATCAAAGGATTCAAATAGAAACTTCACTTAAAACTAAAATTGCCGCTGGGGCACCAGTAAGTGAATCTTAATGCTGGAAAAATGAATTAGGCTAAAAATACTTCTGTATTTCTACTTAAAGGTCTCCTATTATGCTATTTTTAGGCATATATTATGGGTATTAGATGTACAAATATATAAAAACATGTCTATGATGTGTTTTGCTCAAAATACCAAACAGATCATGCATTTTAGACATCCCTCATATCCCTCTGTTTCAGTCCTGTTAGAGAAACGCTGATTTTGGGTCCTTAGCTTGGGAGCTAATGCCTGCTCAGAATTCTACTGGCAAATACAATTACATTTTGCCGTGATTAAACACCATCATGCTCCAAACCACATCAAGCATTATTTCTGAAACAGTATGGAGCTCAAATGCTTTTCTCTTGCATGTTTACCACAAGGTGAGTTTATTTCCTCCTTTTTTACACATACTTTCTCCAGTACAGGTTAGCTCTGAGTGTTAGCGATGCTTGCTAATGTAAACAAAGACCATATTTCGTCCAAAACTACGGAGCCCCCTAGGGGACATGGAGATGAAAAAATATATATATATATATGTTTTGCGAGATCTCGCAAAACTTTTCATTTAGCTCAATGTATTTCCGGGTCAGTTCGGCAACACAGAAACCACAACAATGGAGCGGTTCATCGATTTTTACTTTGAGCTTGGCCTTAAATATAAATATAACATCAGTGCTTGGCAAGAGGCACGGGTTTCACATAAGTGAAAGACACCTCAAGAGAACACTCAGAGCGAGGGGAGATGCACGTCGCAAAGCATACTCTGAGCTGAGTTATTGACAGATTTGAATTTCGCGGATCAATAACTCATGAACATGACGTTGTAAAAATACAAACAACATGACTTTACAATCATGGCAAGATAGACAACGAGCTACAGGGTAGTTTTTATCAGAACAGTTCGATACGCGCCGTCATCCGAGCTAAACATCAATAATTGGTCACAATCTGCAGCTGGAGGAGAGAGAGGAGTGCTTAGGGACCGTCTACAAACTGCAACGCCGAAAATATATACTCGTAGAAAAATTCAATAACTTCATTTTTCTAAGATGTAGTGCTACCAAAATCTCTTAACACATCAATGGTTATGTTGTTGTTACTGTATAACACTTAGTTTGAATAAATATGTTTTAAAATATTTTTCAGGCTTTGATATTTCAAACTATTTTAAATTACTTTGACATTTTACAATGCACTGCAACCAAACCACTTTCACACATCAATAGTACATTGCTGCTCATACTACATCAGGGTTGTCCAAACTGCGGCCTAGGGGCCATTTTGAATCGGCCCTCAGCTAATTAATGTATATAAAAAGTATAATGAAATATGGCCCACAAATTAAACTTGTGCATGTCTTATATTGTACTTCTTAAAACATCAAATCAAATCAAATCAAGTTTTATTTATATTTTTAAACGATTTTTGGTCGAGCCAAAGTGCTGTACATATAATAAAAATACCCTACAGTAAAGACACTTTACAGCAAATACAACAGCACAGTTTGTGCAGAATATCAGTATGAGAAAACGACACCCTCTGTCCTTAGACCCTCACATCGTACAAGGAAAAACTTCCAGAGAAAAACCCACAGTTTAAAGGGGAAAATGGGAGAAACCTCAGGGAGAGCAACAGAGGAGGGATCCCTCTCCCAGGACGGACAGACGTGCAATAGATGCGTGTGTAAATCAAAGAGATATGTTTGGATGCATGTGTCTGTAATAAGACATATATGTTAATAAGCCCACATTTTCTAACAAATCTAAGTTGATAAGAAAAAAGCTCAATAACTTATTTACATAACATATATTTCATATTTCCTCTTATTATAAGCAATCTGAAGCTTCTGTTTTAAGGAATGAGCTGCCAACAAAATAAATGAAACCCTATGGAGAGCTGTGATGTAACCTGTTTTTTTCTTTGTTTGATTTGTTAGAAAATGTGGGCTTATTAACACGTATATACATATATATTCAAGAAGTACAATTTGGCCCCCGGGCCACAGTTTGGACAACCCTGATGTAGTATGAGCAGCAATGTACTATTGATGTGTGAAAGGGGGTTTGGTTGCAGTACATTGTAAAATATCAAAGTCATTTAAAATAGTTTGAAATAAAAAAGCCTGAACAATATTTTAAAGCATATTTATTCAAAATAAGTGTTATACTGTAACAACAACATAACCATTGATGTGTTAAGAGATTTTGGTAGCACTACATCTCATAAAAATGAAGTTATTGAATTTTGCTTTGCGACGTGCATGTCCCCTCGCTCTGAGTGTTCTCTTGAGGTGTCTTTCACTTATGTGAAACCCATGCCTATTGCCAAGCACTGATGTTATATCTTTATATTTTAGGCCAAGCTCAAAGTAAAAATCAATGAACCGCTCCATTGTTGTGGTTTCTGTGTTGCCGAACTGACCCGGAGATACATTGAGCTAAATTAAAGGTTGTTTTTTTTCTTCTCTATGTCCCCTAGGGGGCTCCGTACAAAACACATCAGGCATTGTTTCTGATAGCTATGCTGATAGATATGATTTACGTCATATCGGACGCAAATCTGGATCAGCTCCGTTTTTAGAGATTTGGGTACGGAGGAAAAGAGAGAGGGTTTTGTTTTCTGACACTTTGTGAGTTCCCTGACACACCGGGGACACATATTGATGTATGAAATACATCAAAAAGTGCATTTTGCATGATAGGTCCCCTTTAAAGTGGACCTATCATGCTATATTTAAATGATATATTGTAGAGCCATACCTATATAAGGTATATTTATACGTTTCTGTTTTCAAAATACCAAATAGATCATGCATTTTAGCCATGCCTCATTTCGCTCTATGTGCTGTTTGCTGTCTACGGGTCTGATTCTGCTGACCACGCCCCCCTGCAGGAGAGGTGAGCCGTGCTCTGATCAGCTGCTGGGCTGTCAGAAGAGGGGGAGAAAAAGAGATCTCCGTCCTCCGTGTTTTATTATATAGAGTCGTTATTCATTTGTTTTAAAGCTCAATAAATAACAAAGAAGACCTTTGACCGGCACTTTTCGGAGAGAATTACAGTGCTTGCCTCGACGGGGAGGGATTGCATTGAGCAATCCCTCCCCGCAAGCGTTTGCAGCGGGAGCAAACGCTTGCCTCGGGGAGGGAGAAAAAAAGCCACAGCGGAGAATAAACAGAAGGGTAACCATGGTAACTATGGGCGGGAAGTCTTCTTCGCTGCTTTTGTGGCAGACTACAGCGCCACTTACAGGCCTGGCATATGTACTACAGCGTCTCCAGCGCTTTCGAGCGGCAATGGCCGGCCGTGGCCCAACCCCACATTCCCCTGATAGGTGGAGAGTTGGCCCAATAGCCGTAGCGCCACCGTCCTGACGTCAGGACAGTGTTCAAATCTGGATCAGTTTTTATCAGATCCGTTGCAGCCCCTTTTTTAGAGATTTGGGTATGGAGGAAAATAGAGAGGGTTGTGTTTTCTGACACTTGGTGAGTTCCCTGGAACACCGGGGACACATATTCATGTATAAAAGACGTACAAAAGTGCATTTTGCATGATAGGTCCCCTTTAAGTAACATTTTGAATTCAGGATTTTTACTTGTTATGGAGTATTTTCGGACCATAAAAAGGATCTGAGTGCGTCTTCCATTTTCAAACATTGTCAATTTGCTGCTATTCTATATTTTGAGCCTACACTTGTAGATTTATTGGCTCCAAACTGTTGTATTTTTGCTGAGGTGGGAGGAGAAAGTGTTACATTTGTGGGGGTTTTTTCGGCACAAATCTGCCTTTCTCTGTCCTGTTGCAAAAATAGAGCCAATAGACACATGGGATATTTGCTTTCTTTGCCTACCTGTGTACTTTTCCTCCGTAGAAGGGCTTTGTGTGGAAAGTGACGGTGGCAGAGTATCCACTTTTGGCACAGTTGATGGTGACCTTTCCCCCAAGTTCCACCCATGGCACAGTCAGGATGGAGCGGGCATAGGCACAGGGCAGAGTGAACACGTACTGCTCATCATGCTCCAGCAAATACAGCACACCTGGGAGAAACAGGACACATTTCACAGCTCAGCAGACAGAACGATCTTCACTGAAATGAGGCACCACTAAGGACTGCTCCGTTAGAACTCAAAGTTCTGGATTTATACATCCTGCACAGACCCGGCGCCCATCCAGGACTTTGTCCCTCCCAGGAGAAAGCAGTGTTATTATTGTCAATGTGAAGAAATTAAACGTAATGTGTGTGAATGTGAGAGAGTCGTAGCATAACGGAGCGTCAGAATAAACGCAGGTGTGTGTGTGTGTGTATGTGTGTGTGTATGTGTATGTGTGTGTGTGTGTGTGTGTGTGTGTGTGTGTGTGTGTGTGTGTGTGTGTGTTGTGTGTGTGTGTGTGTGTGTGTGCGTGTGTGTGTGTGTGTGTGTGTGTGTGAGTCTCGTGGTCAACCCTGAGCGACAGACAGAAGAGGATATAGCAGGACATGGCATAGCATACATTTTCTTTTGCTATCAAAACCATCATATTAAAGCTTGTTTATCCAAAAAAAGTCCCCCGTACAGAGGTCCATGTAGCTCCAATGTATGTTGTTCATATTATATCCATCCTGTCATCCATTCATTCATTTGTTCCACTCATGGTTCATAATTCACACAACACACTTAGAGCAGTTTATAGCCCATGATATCAAGGAGCAGGTTTACTATCTGCTCCTGTCTCAAAATACATGGTCTGTATTCACAGCTGCCAGAAGCTTAACAAACTTTGACAGTAACATAAAAAATAAAACAATCAGGGTCAACACAATAATCTACTAGCAGCAATTATTGACCTGGGCCGTTCCTTTGTTCAATAAAACCGGCTGCCCAGTGCTCACTCAGTGGTGATATCCTCATAGACATGCAGTTTCTCTCCAAACAGTTTTTTCACAAAATCAGACATGTTTTTGCCCTCATTTTACAGGCATTGAGTATATTTTCTATATAAATATAGTCTTTCAAGATCTTCACATTTATCTTCCAACTGCTTCTGAATGTGCAGACTGGTGATGAGCACTTTTGTCAAATCGAAATTCTCTAATTTCTTGAGGATTTCAGTGAGCACCACAACACTTTCAGGTGAATCCTCAGGTGTTTCCTCAGGTGCATTGTTTGCTCCTTGTTCTGGTGGCTTCTGCTTCTTTTTTACTTGTAGTCTTTTCCTTCCCTTATTTGGACAAAGTGACATTTTTCAGACTGAATGCAGAAATAAAGCCTTCTTGGTTAGTTTGTTTAAATTAGTACCAGAAAGCAACTTGACTATTGAGGCTGCTCACGACATGACCGTGTTGGCCATACTCCACATCCAGATTGCTCTGCTAAAGTTGGGTCAATGTATTGGCGCTGGCACAAATAACTAGCGGTTTGATGTTTTCATTGGCAGCACTGTTGGGATTCTGAATGTGAATTCAGTATGTCAGCTGTGTTGTTTTTTTAGTGAGTGAAATTCCAGATGCACATGATACGTATAAATAGGGAGATATGCCCCCCCCCCCTCCCCATGGTTTTAGGTCTTCTTCCAGGTCTGACGCTCTGTTTCCAGCAGAAGTGGGGGTTTGTGCTATATTCTTGGCATTTGTTAGCATAGCATATGTCAGTTTATTAATTTGATCCCTGTGGTGCCTGCATTAGAGAACACACTGAACATGTTTCAATCTCCACACACATAAACACAGCTGTAGCATCTCAGCAGCCTCTGAATGGATAGCTGTGACATTTCCTTCAGACATTCATGGAGCCCAGAGGAACTCCTACTGACGGTGGTTAGCCCCACTGTACATTGGATTTATTCTCCTGTCTGTAGTCTGAGCCATGCATTGTAAAAAGGTCTGAAGTATTCTGTCAGTCTGCCTCCTGGGCACACGTCCAAACCCCCCCCCCCCCGCTGCTTATATAACAGACAGCTGTCCTGTGCCCAGTCTGCTGCCCTGGACCCAGGTCGTACACAACACATCTGTCTTCCACAGACACACTAACACACACAAACATACTGTACACACACTGCTCCTCATCTAAAATACTTGCAAAAAAACCTCATACTGAACAATGGCATTATTACCTATCATGGTTCAACTGACAATGTGCACATTACTTCCTATCCCTCCCCACCCGCATCAAGCACCGAACCTGGGGGGACAGAGCCTTCTTCGTGTCTGCCCCCTCCCTCTGGAACTCACTCCCACAACCCATCAGAGAGTGCCCTGACCTCACCACCTTCAAAACACTCACCAAAACTCACCTCTTCAATCTGGCTTTTAATGTGTGATTGTTGTTATATTGCTTGATTTTAATTTGACTTCAACTATATTTATTTGTTGTTCTTTTCTTTTCACTATCTCTGTAAAAGCGCTTACAAGATAAATCTATTATTATTATTACTACCAGATATACTGTCCATATTTTCTCATGTATTTCTTAAAAAATTTTCCTATCCATGAAGAATGTGACTAATCTCCTCTGCCAATGCCAAACAGCAGCCAATCTCGGGTCTCGTACGGTTGCCAGGAGCCTCAACATGTGGAGGAACATTATGTTCAGAGCACTGGAACCTCAGCATGTGGAGGAACATTATGTTCAGAGCACTGGAACCTCAGCATGTGGAGGAACATTATGTTCAGAGCACTGGAACCTCAGCATGTGGAGGAACATTATGTTCAGCGATGAGTCCAGATTCTGCCTACGGCACATGGATGGTAGGGTCACAGTGTGGAGAAGACGCAGAGAAGGCTTTGCTGATTGCTGCACCGATAGAGTAGGAGTGGAGAGGATGACCTGCAGTCCTGACCTCAACCCCATGGAACCCCATTTTGGGATCAACTTGGCCCTGCTGTCCGTGTCAGAGGGATCAACACAACCACGTTGGCTGACCTGGGACAAATGCTGGTTGAAGAATGGGAAGCCATCCCACAGCAGGGTGAGCAGGCTGGTGACAGCATGAGGAGGAGAGGCTGTTGTGGCTGTGTTTGGCTCTTCCACACGCTACTGAGGCTGCTTGTTAAATGAATCAATTGTTAATAAATCATAAACCTCGGCATTGGCAGAGGAGATTTGTCACATTTTTCATGGGCGCACCCCACATACTCAGCTCTGCTGCTCATCCCACAAATGCATGTTCGTCACAAATGTGGTACCATTTGAATGGTAAGAAAACAGGCTTTCCAACGGTATAAGATGTATTGGCAAGAAGCATTGTTACAACATAGAAATCATCTACCAAACACAAATTGCCTTACCTTCTGTGTTAAGTTTATATATATTTTAGGTATTTCTCTTTCAATTCCTGCTCATTCATTTATTTATAGTTCTGTGTTTAAGAATTCACCGTGTGTGTGTTTCATAGATTTGTTCCCCATATGGGTTCACTCTATTGTGTGCAGGCATGTGTGTGTGCGTGTGTGCGTGTGTGTGTGTGTGTGTGTGTGTGTGTGTGTGTGTGTGTGTGTGTGTGTGTGTGTGTGTGTGTGTGTGTGTGAAACAATGACCCACATGCTGCATTCAGTCAGCCGTGCTGTTCACTGCTGCACAGGGAGCTGACAGATGAATGCAGGAGGCTGTAATATCATGAATAAGTGTACATTAGAAACTGGGTTACTTTGTTTTCGTGCCACGGTACATTTCATTGCAAAATATGATCCTTGTGCCTCTGGGGCCTGTATTTAACAGAGGCCTTGTTGAGGGCCAACTCCTTCCATCAACAGTAAGACAGAGTTTGGGCCTCACTGTTGCTCAGGGGGTGAATCGAGGGCATGCCTTAGGGGCATGATAATGTTTCCTCAGTGTAATCATTGGAATGCTTCATGTAGTGCTGCTATCTGGGCTGTACCACATACCACATGCCCAGCTCAGTAGCATTTAAGGAGTTGACATGAGAGGCTAAGGTGTCTGTGCATGCCAGAGGGAGATGTGTGCACTAACCCTCGGGGAATGCATGTATTCCTTACTGAGAGTTTATCTCTGATCTTGTAGTATAGAACCCAAAATGGCCATTAAGTCAATGTCTCAAGTTCCTGGGCCACTTAGTCTGCACGTATATCTTAAATCTGACTTGTGTTACATAACCTTTCTTGAGTGAAGACCCAAGATGCTCACAGGAGGCAGGTCAAACTTGAACTAAAAGTAAATGATAGCGTCCAAAGACAAATGACATGTCAACCGGTCCACTACTGACTTAATGATTTAAAAGCAGGCCATATGATATAACACTGTATTTCACAATTCAGTTACACGACTACATGTTAACATGGTAAAAACGTGTTATGATCCACACTTGCAGACTTCCACCATCGCACGTCATAATGTAGTTAAACTCATTTAGATATGTGCACTAAAAGCTGCGTTGAGGCACTATCACCTGTCCTAAATAATGGCAGAAACATAACCTTCACATTGTTAAATGCCCACCACCAGCTCAGGGAGACTAACATTCACACACCCACACAGAACTCTGGCATAACGAGACATTTTTAACCGATGACACACAGATATGCTAATTGCAGGGGCTGGGGACTGAACCACCAAATCTACCTCCTTAGTCAAAGTCGCCCCAAATTGTAATCTAACATTGTTCCTTAATTCTAAGATAATAGAGTAATGTAAACTTCCATAAGAGACAGAGACTCCAAGCCAACTTTGCCCTGCTTAAACATGGAACATGTATCTCTGAATTCCAAATGATCAAACTTTTGCAAATTAAAACAATATGGTTAGGAGAAGTAATTCAACAGTGATGTCTGCAAATTGAAGCTAAACAATCAAATAAAAGTGAATTCTTACTGCTGGAAACTACATGTCAGATCACACACACACACACACACACACACACACACACACACACACACACACACACACACACACACATGCACACACACACACACACCACACACACACACACACACACACACACACACACACACACACACACACACACACACATACACACACACACACGCGCACACACACACTATTATATATATAATATTACTAGATATATTAGATATTACAGCCTCCTGCATTCATCTGTCAGCTCCCTGTGCAGCAGTGAACAGCACGGCTGACTGAATGCAGCATGTGGGTCATTGTTTCACACACACACACACACACACACACACACACACACACACACACACACACACACACACACACACACACACACACACACACACACAAAACAGTGCTTCCAATGGAATTGATAACATAAGAAATATTTGGCACCCTGAACTTTGGGTGTCCAATTCATTTGTAGTATGTCCCCCTTCGATACTCTCATCCCGTTCTACTGTTCCGTTGTTGTTTCAATCAGCCTGCTCTTGGTTGTGTAAGATCTGATCAAGATAACTACATATGGAATAAACACATGCATATGGCATTCTGTTTTGGAACAACATTTGTCCAATTAGAGGCTGCAGATGGAATGTGAGTCCTGCTGTAGGGATTCACTGAGCTGAAGGAGGAGGCTCTGAGTCTACAAACAGCTGTGGATGTCTGATTATGGCCAGCCATTTATCCATCTGACACCATCCGATCGCTCCGACATGGTTCTAAAACAACATTACCTTATTTGACAATGATTAAAAACAATTGTGCAGGAATGAGTCCGAAAACCTGGAAATTAGTTAGCATTTTACCACTTACGGTTCCCTCATCATGACATTTTTGGAAAATATCTGAAATAAGATCTGTGGTTAACACAAGCTTAAAATATTTTAACTTTATTTTCTACAATGTAAGATTAGTCAGTAAATACCCCCCCGGTTAAATGTGCAGCGCTTCTATGTGTCATGAACATGTTGGTTGCTAAGAAGCGTCTAAATAGAGTACTAAAAAGCATCACTACGTTAGCAGCCTTTAGTAAAGAATCGTAGAAATTAAGTTACTTCTTGCAATTGCATTTATGCTTTAAGTTTATACGTGGAGATGATCCTGCTGATCAAAACATGTAGGTATCATAAACACTTCTTTTCAATATTCTAAAGTAAGTCCAATGGAAAAAAAATGTTTGTCGAGGGAGCCTTTGCGATACTAACTTCCAGGTTAGCCTACAAAAAGACGTGATCACTGCATCTCTTTATGTGTCTGCTGGTATTTGGCACACACTCATTTATTTCACCCAACATTAAAGAAGTTGCTGAGGGTTTCTGTGAAACATTCTAATGACATGAAAACCTCAAACAATGTCACCTGACATCAAAAGCTGAAGACCTACAGTACATTTCACCAAAACACAATTAGCTAACGTTGCTATGTGATCTGTATACGACTCCATAGTTAGCCTCTACTAACACTTTAGCGCTATGTGCACTGCGCAGTGCATGACAATACCAAACAAATGAATAAACAACCTTTCAAACTCAGGCGCGGTCATTGTGTTCGTGTGCAACTCATTGCAATACTATGAAAATCAAGCAAACATTCAATTTTCAATCAAGCTCTAGTTCTCTTACCTTCCCCGACCATAGAGACCCCGACAGACATGCCCATGAACTTGCTCTTGGTCCAGACATGCGTGTTGACACACATCTTCTTCTCCTTGCACTCGCAGTAGAAGCCTGACACAGGAGGGTGGTGGGACAGCTGCTCTGCCACAAAACTAACATGATAGCAGTCTGAGTGTTTCCTGCTGCTGCCACCCACCCCCCTCTGTGGGGACCCGGGAATGCTCGCAGAGTCTGTGGGTGCTGAGTTGGGACCGGGGCAGTTGGTAGTCCTGAGGGGTCGCACGCGGACCCGAGGCACATACCAGGAGCAGTGGAAGTTCTCGCCCAGGATGGGGTTGTAGGGCTTCTTGGCCACGGCCCCCTTGCGGCCCTCGTGGAAGGCGGTCAGGTAGTACTCCACGAAGCGGACCATGCGCTCCTCTGCTGTGCGGCCGCAGGTGATGGACAGGAACATGTCAGGGTGAGCCATGAAGTTGGCGTACATTTCTAGCATAGAACGCTTCTCCAGGATGAAGGTAGGGAGCACCACCTGAGGAGGGGCAGACAGAGGGGACGACTGTTGGATCACTGTGCACACAGAACTATGCTCACGCTCTCTGCTGCATTCTTAGACCAATGTGCATTAGCTAAACCATGATGAAACACAAAGCCACCTCGATAAGATATGTAGTTGTAGGCATAACGTTGGAGCTATAACTTATTATTAAGACATACTGCATAGGAGCTACCTACAGCCTATGTTTAATATGAAGAAGAAACACAATTGAACAAAGTGGGTGTCCAGTAGAAGTCAAAGAAACCTGGTCCATAATATGATTTGTCTGACCTTAAAAACATCCATCAATTCATTTTTTAAATATATACCAGGGGTCTCAAACTCAAGTTGGCTTGGGGCCACAGCTAACAATGTCATCTCAGGGTACTACAAGGCAGTGCAATATTTCAGATTATTTTTTATTTTATTTCGATTACTAGCAATGTTTGCCATATATGCATTACTGTTCAACAGTTCTGCGTGTTTGGGTCTGGGTAAAATGTCTTGACACCTGTCCAAACAATAGTTTTGTCTAACTTGCAGTTAACTAACAAATGCAATCCCTGAATACTTTGTACTTCAGTTTTTTTCATTGCATGTTAAGGGGGGGTTTGAATTGGAAAGAATCAACTATACAAACGAAATTAAAACTATTTTACGGACAGGAATGTGTAATATTAGTGAGAACATGTTGCTGGCCTGAGGGAGTTAGCATGCATTGAATGATGATATTGATGTTGCCATGACTCCAGAGCTATATTCACCTTCTTGGGGTCCCCAAGCCCTCAGAGCTCTCATGTGCATTGTTCAGTCGGCTGTGAGTTTTTGACTGCAGTGTTTATTGTTGAAAATGCTGATTCACAGAGATATGTAGCAACATCAGCATGGACCTTTTTACAGAAAGTGACAGCGTCACAGGGAGCATTTTCTTAGAGCTCAATCAGACCTTTCTGACAAGAAATAGGTTTTCAATGAGTAGCCTGTTCTTTCCAGGCTAAAGTCCTCAAAGCAGGTTTGGAAATGTCCAATCAGCTTCACTATGACAAGAATTGCAGACACTGTATCTTTCATGTTCAAAAGCTTGAAGCGCAAGTCTTTTAGATGGGACAATATATCCGTCAGAACTACAACAGCTTTCATTTTTGTTCATTTGCAGAAAATCTACAAACATTTTGGCTTTTTTATTCAAGGAATGCTCCAGCAAAATGCAGCTGTTATTGCATTTTCCAATTTATAAGAGGCCCTCTTTTGTTCATTTTCAGTTTCATATTTGTATTTGTTGCCTCTACTGTGCCATATCTACAGGCTTTAATGTTCAAAAGGGTCTTCATTGTTTTCATACTGCCTCAGTCTGAAACAAAAAGCCCAGTCTGCTCTGACTGGTTAGCTTAATGCTTAATGTTAGCAGAGACATCACATACTTTGCAAGTAAAGATGGTATTTAGGAGTGGATGGTATTTAATGACGTTGTTCATAAAGGCTTCGTCCAGGCCAGAGTCAACTAACTAACTAACTAACTAACTAACTAACTAACTAACTAACTAACTAACTAACTAACTAACTAACTAACTAACTAACTAACTCAACTCAACTCAACTCAACTGAGCTATGGTTTCATGTCATGTAAAGGGGTTGAATATAATTGACTCTCTATTGGATTCCTCATGACATAAAGCCAGGCCTGTCACACAACCTGACGGTCCAAATGATGACAGCTCAGGCTCAGATTGGGTGTTTTGTCAGAGCCGTGCCAGAGGGCAGCCCAAATGTCGATCCCATGGCCCAGCACCAGTCAATATGGTCATGGCAAGAGTGAATGGTTGGAGAATAATTGGAAAGATGTGCAGACGGTTTCCTATGTGTACATAAGTGGATAAATGATGTTGTTCTAACACAGAGTTGGAAGGATCCCCCCCTACATGAGTTATGGTGTAATCCCAGCGTCTCAGGTATTTGAGGTCAGAATCCCTTTCTGTTGCACATTGTCAGCTCATCACCCCGTGATCCAGAGCACTGGGCCTTGAGTAATCAGCTCACTGGTCTGAAACAGTCGCCTGTATCACATGAGAGGAGTCTGACTGCTATCCATAACCACAACCAGGAGGGTGGAGGAAGCAAAGAGGAGGGAGTGTTATTTACCATCCCGGCCCAAATAAGGAGACACTAGTTTATACTGTACATTAGGAACATGTGACAGGCTGACTTCCTGTGTGTTCGCTAGGAACACAAAATCGAAGTTTCACACTGTAAAGTAATGTAACATGATTACTTTCCGTTCATTTTGGATTACCTCACTATCCAATGCGACCCAATTAAATACAAAAGAAAATAAATATCAATAAGAACACTTTAAATGTAGTGTATTATGTAAGACAACAGAACATGTAACCTAGGAAAGAAGAAACCGACTACTACTGTATGTTTTTAGTTTGTGTGTTTTGGACTGGGAGATTAGTCGTAAAGTGTTATAATATGTAATCCTGAGTTTCATAACATATCGTTTTTTATTTTTAAATGTATTGTAACATTGTAATCCTGCTAATAACCCCTTTTTTATATCACTGTAAGGGAATACCGTTTTTTGTATCCTGATTATGAATCCTGTTACATGTACTCTGTTACTCCCCAAGCCGGGCTATAAATATTCCACATCCTCCCTTTGCTATATCGAGAAATCCTGGACACACACACACACGGATAATAACAGACAAATACTCTAATCTCAAAATCCCCAAATCCTTATTGAGATTAAACTGATAGTAAACAATAAAATAGGGGTAGTGACTGATTACTAAAAGATATCTAGAGCTGCCTCCATCAGATACAGTGGAGGAAATAAGTATTTGATCCCCTGCAGATTTTACAAATGAATGAACAGTCTATAATTTAATGGTAGGTTTATATAAACAGTGAGAGTAAGAATATCAAAAATAAAATCCAGAAATTGACATTATATAAAAGATACAAATGTATTTGCATTTAACTGTGGGAAATAAGTATTTGATCCCCTTGCAACAAACAAGGATTCTGGCTCCCACAGACGGTTACATACGTCCTCTTCTTTTAAAAAAGTACTCCTAATATTAACTTGTTACCTCTATAAAAGACACCTGTCCACAGAATCAATCAATCAATCAGATTCCAACCTCTCCACCACGGGCAAGACTAAAGAGCTGCCTAAGGACCTCAGGGACAAGATAGACCTGCTCAAGGCTGGGATTGGCTACAAGACCACCAGAAAGCAGCTTGGTGAGAAGGAGAAAACTGTTGGTGCCATTATTCAGAAGAATAATGTGTGTGTTTCTAAATAGAAGAAAGACTAAATGAGCATCAATCGCCCTCGGTGTGGGGCTCCACACAAGCTCTGTCCCCGTGGGGTATTGATGATCATGAGAAAGGTGAGGGATCAGCCAAGAACTACACGGAGGAACTTGTTAATGATCTCAAGGCAGCTGGGACCACAGTCACCAAGAAAACTATTGGTAACACACTACACCATAATGGATCAAATCCTGCAGCGCCTGAAGGCCCCCTGCTCAAGAAGGACATGAAAGGCCCGTCTGAAGTTTGACAATGAACATCCGAATGATTCAGAGAAGGCTTGGGAGAAGATGACGTGGGCAGATGGGACCAACATATTGATCTTTGGCATCAACTCGACATGCCGTGTTTGGAAGACGAGAGATGCTGACTATAACCTCCAGAACACCATCCCCACCGTCAAGCATGGAGGTGGAAACATTCTGCTTTGGGGGTGTTTCTCTGCTAAGGGGACAGGACCACTTCCCTGCATCGAGAAGAGGATGGACGGGGCCATGCACCGTAAAATCTTGGCCGATAGCCTACTTCCCTCAGACACTGAAAATGGGTCATGGACAGGTCTTCCAGCAGGACAATGACCCTGAACCTAAGGCCAAGGCAACACAGGAGCTGCTAAAGAAGAAGCACATGTAGGTGATGGAATGGCCTAGCCAGTCTCCAGACCTTAATCCCATAGAACATCTGTGGAGGGAGCTGAAGCTTCAAGATGCCAAGCATCAGCCTCAAAACCTTCAGGATTTGGAGAGGATCTTCAGAGAGGAGTGAACCAGAATCCTTCCTGAGATGTGCACAAACCTGGAGACCAACTACAAGAAGCGTCTGACCTCTGTGCGTCCAACAAGGGTTTCTCCAACAAGTACTAACACATGTTTTGCAAGGGGATCAAATACTTATTTCCCACAGTTAAATGCAAATCCGATTTTACCTTTTATATAATGTACATTTCTGGATTTTATTTTTGATATTCTTACTTTCACTGTTTATATAAACCTACCATTAAAATGACAGACTGTTAATTTGTGGGTAAACTTACAAAATCTGCAGGGGATCAAATACTTATTTCCTCCATTGTAAATGATGCTTCTTTACATGTTGACAATGGACAGAGCAAAAGAAAAAAATGTTTCACAAATGCTGACTACTATCATTTGTGAGTTACAGTATATTAGGGGCATAATCCATTCTGTAATACTTTAAATTGTACTTATTTCTTTCACTTTTAACAAGCTAATGCTTGTTGTGGTTGTTCTTCGATGGCAGAGCAGCACTATTCTTGCTCACAGACACTAAATCAGAGAGGTGCTCTGTCAGAAAGCCTGTGCAGTGACTCGTGATGAAAGGCAATGAAGGCAGAGTCTTACCCGTGTGAGGTCCATGCCCAGTTTGAGCTGGGACAAGAGGTGAAGCATGATGTTGCGCTGGTCATCCAGAACTCCCAGGTCCTCCTCCTCATGGTCCTCTGTGTCGGTGGTCTCGTCGCTGAGGTCCGGGGTCTCTAGGCTGCTGCTCTGGCCCTGCTGGTGGAGGCACAGATTATTGGTATGAATGGTACATCGTAAACAGTCTGCATTTGTAGTACTTCTGCAGTCTTTGCGACCCCTCAAAGCGCTTTTACGTCTACAGTTCAGGGCAAAAGATCAACCTTTTTGTACATTACAGCCAGCAAGTACAATTTAAGGTCTACACTAACTTCCAGTTGGCCTACACAAATACGTCATCACTGCAGCACTCTATTACCGTCAGCTTATTGATAAGGCAAGGCAAGGCAAGGCAAGTTTATTTATATAGCACCTTTCAACACAAGGCAATTCAAAGTGCTTTACAAAAATGGAAGACATTAAGAAAATGGCATTTAAAATCAGTCATTAAAAAGAAAAGATAATAAAATAAACTAAACATTAAAAGAAAAAATACATGGAAAAAAAATAAAGCTCTTTAACAAGTTGAATTGGTTTAATATTCAGGGTAATCGATTGATGACCACGCTTTTTGCACTGTAATTCATGGCAAATACTTCCTGTGGGTCATGCTTTGTGCATTGTCATGTTGAAACAGGAAAAGCTCACACCTAAACTCTTTTTTTGCTGTAGAAATTATATTTCCCTTCTATAAAGTTAGCATCGCAAGGGCTAATATGATACATATTTTACTAAGCAGATTAATCTCCACTTATTAACACCACTTCATGAATTTTAAAAGCATTAATGCAATCGCTGGAAGTAAAAAGCTAACGTTAGGTAATAAACAAACGACATTACAATTGCATGGATGCCCATCACCACTGCTAAGCTAAATGCGGCTAATGTTTGGTGTGTCGAGGTGAAGCAACTTTAGTTTTTATGACAAATAGAAGTTTCGGACATTCACCAGTGAAGTATTGACTGACATATTTTATGTCGTACAACAAAACAGGAACATCTATTCAGTTTGTGTTAACCATAACCATATTTCAGGCTTCTAACCACAAACACGTACAAAAACATGAGACTAATTCCTGCATCACTCTATAACCATGGGGGATGCTTTAAACAAAAGAACAAGAGTTAGTTTCTAAGGTGATAAGACTGAACACTACGCAAGATGGATGTACCATTGTGAGCCAAACAAAAAGCTCTCCATCACACACTCACACACACACACACACACACACACACACACACACACACACACACACACACACACACACACACACACACACACACACACACACACTTTCAAACTCACGTTGTTGGGCTGGCATGCAACCCCTGCTGACTTGTTGGGAGTTTTGCTGGATTTCATGTCCACCATCCAGAGAGATAAGGGGAAAGACCCGCTGACTTCCAAATACTACCAAAGCAAGAAGTGACAGAGAGAGCCGAGGAGGAAGGGGGGACAGAACCAGAGTAAGGAAAGCCTGAGAGATATTACAGAAGAAGAGAAGAAAGAAAGTGAGCTGAGATAAGAAGAAGAAGAGGAGGTAGGAAGAAGAGCGTAGATCTGCTGCTGCTGCTGCTGCTGCACTTCTGATAGGCAGATTAACATGAGGCTGGCAATCCTCTCCATCCCCATGAGCCTCTCTCTTTACACAAGCCCCGCCCCCTGCACAAACACACTGCGTTACATCAGAACCCGTCCTCACTCTGTTCCCTCCCCTGCCTGCTTTACTGTCCCATCCCCCTTCCTCCTTGTATACCTCCATCCACCCCTGGCTACACTCCACAGCCGGTGTAATCACCAGCATGGAGGCCGCTGAGCGCAGAGCAGCTGCTCACTGTGCACCAAACTCTGCCAGGCTGCAAATTGTGTGCGTTGTGCAGTTCTTTGAAAAAATGGGGGAATAATACAACTCAAACATTGGCATTAAGTGCTCCACAGAAGTAACTTTGGAAATTATTCAAACTGTGTTGTTGTTTTAAAAATAATCTATTCCATAAAAAACAATATTCCATGGTAAATAGTAAACGAACTGCACTTATAAAGCGCTTTTCTAGTTTTATCGACCCCAAGTCAGCATTCACCCATTCATACATTCATACAGAAGCAGGGGCTGCAATATAAGGTGGAAGGAAATTGTTTTTGGCTCACAATCTGATTCATTATGGATAACCATACTTAAAAAACAAGCAGGTCCTTCCATATACATATTGAAGTGTAATGACAGACCATCTGCTATCCTGGAATGTGTTGCTATATCTGTAAAGGACAGAACAAAAGATGTATTTTATCAGCTGCCTTCGGTCTTTCGTTGCCAGTAGACACATTTATCTTTTTTTCACATCTGTGATTTTCAGTGTTCTGCAGTATTGCAATACTACATGGTACAAGAGTGTGTCCACCACTTCAAAGTCAAACCTTTTGAGAAACTGTTCTAAATGATCCTAACATGACAATATATGAGCATGATCTCTGAACCCAACCATGTCCTGAACAGTGAATATGAATATGAATTGTTCGATTCGGAGATTCAGGTACCCGCAATTCAATACATTTAGACTGTAGAAGTATTAAGTGCAGCAGTCTATTCTCATATTAAATCCTAGTTTAAATGTATGTTAAAGGGTCTTGAAAATATTCTCCTCAGTGATTGTAATGTTATACAAATAGAGCTGCAGTGACGCAAAACTAAAATGTGGACTTAATCTGACAATAAAGTATTACCGTACTGTATCATATTGTATCGTACCTGCTCAGGGAGACTAACATTTGCACACACTCACACAAATTTGGCCATCTGGATAAAACGTGGGGTTCAGTATCTTTGCCAAGCAAGTAATCCTGGTATTGGTGAATTCACAGGTGCAATCACACTTCTATGTTTAGCAGTTTTAAAAGACAGTATGTCATTTGAATAAGTCAGATATATGTTGATTCAACATCTCTGTTATATGTCATTTTTTTCAGTTTATTACATGGGTTTTGTTCTGTCATTATGCCGCTTCATAACGCTACAGTGGTTCTGCATTCTCAATCAACCATCACTTATAGTTTTAACTTCTGAAATCTGAAAGATAAATACATTTATAAAGGATGTAAAACTAGATTTCATAAAAGCTCACTCTTTAACTGTTATTGCTTTAGAACTGTTATTTGAAAGTAATAAGTTATAGTTGTTAGTGTTTGAGTGAAAATGTGGAAGTGTATGTTTATAATGCCACTCGTTCTAGTATTGTACGTGCACAGTGTGTGTATCAGTGAAAGGTCATGTGCCTGTGTGCACGTGGGTATTTATGAACATCTACCCCCTCCTCTTAATCCTCCTTATATCCCATGACTGGTCTTTATTCCCCCAGGCTGATCAGCTGCAAAACAAACACTTAACTATTTTCACCAGTTATTTTTATTATTTTTGTTACTTTATTGCCTCGTGGAAAAATGCCATTGACAATACATTTCAGATAAACAGAAGATGAGTCAAGGCATTTAGGCACAGGCAGAAGGTTATATGATTTCACATTTCATGTCATCTACAGTATAAAGACACATTAACGGATGTAGACATGTGAGCGGTGAGGTGAGTGGGATAATATGACACCAAAGAAAATGATGAGACTTTAGTTAACTCCATTCTAATCTCTTGTTAATCCCCCCTTCCGTTCAGTTGGATTCAGGTTGCACTATTAATTCCATGTTCACTACCATGGCAACCAGCAGTTTATAAGATCAACTTATTTTTTCCATAGATCCCCACCTTGTCATAATCAAAAAAATCACATAAACCTCTTGTCATAATATATAAATAAACTAAAATATGTGTTATTTCTTCAGATTTGTAATTTCCAAACTGCCCACTGTTTCAGTCACCTAGGGTGTCCCACAGGGATCTGCACTGGGTCCTCTGCTTTGTATCATTTACTATCTGCCATTTAGAGAGAACCTCCATCACCATAGAAATGCAACATCATCCATAATCTCTTCAATTTCACTTTTTGTAAAGAGATTTTGAAAATGCAAAGAAACTTATAGCACAACACAAAGGTAACATCAGTGCAGTGTTTGTATAAAAGCACTTCCAACAGCTGGTTTCAGCATTTTCCACCATTTTGTGATTGAGCGTCTCGGGTTGTCATCAGCTAAATGTATCAAAATTAAGAGTTCTTATCTTACAGATAAATGGCGTCCATTTGTAAAACATGTAAGGGAAAAATGACCGCCTCTATACATATCATCCCGCTTATCACACAGCCACATACTAAATAAACCAACAACTTCCCTAATTTTATTGAATTCAAAATGATTGTATTGCTACTGTTAAGAAAACAATTGTCGGTGATCACTTCAATGTGCCTCACGGACCAGGTTTGCGGTGGGTCTCTCATGAATGAGAGCAGGGTAAGGGGTAGGTATAAGGTTCCTCCTACGGGGGCCTTGTATGTTGTTTTTTGTTCTGAAGGGGTTCTATACGAGGAGTATTATGTGTTATTGATAACTTGTTTTTTTGGCAGGCAGCTAAGCGGCACCTTTTTTTGTTTTTCATTACTCACTGTCTTCCTCCCTCCATGGGAGCTTTCATCTCAATCTGAGGCATATAAACGTCACCTGTTCAGATGGCTAGTGGTTTAAGAATAGTGTCCTGGAATGTAAACGGGCTACAAAATCCAATAAAGAGGAAGAAATGTTTATGATACCTCAAATCACAACAAGCACATATAGCCGTTTTACAAGAGACTCACTTGAAAAGGGACTGGGTGGGTCAAATATACCATAGTTCATATAATAGTAAAAAGCGTGGAGCGGCTATATTGGTGCATAAGAACTTGAATTTCGTTATTATTAATGAGCAAAAGGACGAAGATGGAAGAATGATTTGTTTGGAAGCCAAAATTAACGGAATAAAAGTGAATTTGTGTAACATTTAAGCTCCAAATGGGGAAGATCCAGGTTTCTTTCATAAAATAAATAAAGTAATGGGGAGCATAGCTGATGGGCATACTGTTATTGCTGGAGATTTGAATCAAGTGTTAGACGGGGTTCTGGATAAAACCACCTTTTCCAATAATGTACCAAAAGACAGAATAGCAATCGAGCTTTTGGGGAA